TATTGTGTTTTTGTTCAAAGGACTATCGGATATCGGCCGATATATCGGACTATCGGATTTTTAAATCACCAATATCTGTATCGGTATCTGCCTTAAAAGTCCTTTATCGGTCGGGCTCTAAAATATATTAATTCATTCAGCAACATGGTTTGCAGAATTAGCAGATGTGTTGTTAAGCATACACAGTTTGTAGTAAATTTAGTAAATGCAAAACCGCTGCTGTGGTCCTTTAAGAAAAAGAAACTGTACAACGTTTTAGAAATGTACGTGTACACTTAATGAGCACAATGCGATGCAATGCAATTTATCTATTTGGGATGTTACAATCACTATATAATCATATCTATTTGATCTATTTATCTGTTTAAGCAAATAGTATAAACGACAAAGGGTAAGTCCACAGAGCAAACAAGCATTCTCTATCCTGCTCTTCCAGAAAGCTCACCCTTGTCTTCCACTTATTTTTGGGGAGGGGCCAAATACAGTGTCTGCATATAAACCTTTAAACGACTGAAAAGGTAAGTGCATGTGTGTGTTTGTGTGTGTGTAGAAGTTGACTGTCTTGCTGAATGACAGATAATGTGAAAGTGTGTCATTGTGCAAGCTGTCATCTTGGTAGGCCAACTGTCTGTCAAAGTGGAAATTCCCCACATAAGAGAGGCATTCAACTGAAAATGTCACTAAACAAACAGGTCTGAAGGAAATATACTGTATAAGTTTTTCTTTTATTTCCTCTGATGGGGCCCAAATGAATAGGAAATTATTAGAGGCTAGGCCACTAAAGTACACCATTGATATTCTATTACAGGTCTGATTTCATCTAATGGGTTATGTGGTACATGTTTACTGGCTTGAAGTAAGTAAACCAGATTGATCTTGTGCCTTACCACTTGTGTGATTTGACATGCAAATAAAATGAGAGACCCGCTGTCACATTGGACTATATGGTATATTTTCAAGGTGAATGCTATTTTATTCTCCTCACTCAAGGGCACGTTTCATCGCTGCTGCCGCATTCAGGGATGAACCTGTAACCTTTTGTATCGAAATTTTTGAATCATTCTCCAGCATCCATATGGTAACCACATAAATTTGGGTCTTCATCAACATTATAGCTGCGATAGACTGTCACCTATCCCAGAATACTGTGCTTCTGAAAGGCCTGGGAGTCCTTGGGATAGGTGGTTGACCCTGAACAAGCCTCACTGCATCACCAGGGGTCTTCACTTGCTCTTTTCCCCCCCGTTAGGACCTTTCATTCTTCCTCTGTCTCTCCCTTTTCCTCTACCACTTCCACTCTGCCATCTTCCTTTTTTTATTTGGTCACTTAAGCTGTGGAACTGTGGTCTCCATCCCCCGTTTTTCCAATCTCCTCTCAAATTTATTGGGTTCAGTGGAGGCCTTCCTGTCCTTCTACCGCGTGGAAATAGAGATCAGAGTATCCATTACTTCGACAGAGATGGATGCGGGTCCCCGTGCACCGTCCCCATAACAAGGACATCAAAGGGAGGTAGCCCCCTCTTTTCAGCATGACCCCCCATACAAGACTCCCCGCTCTCACCTCATTATGCAGCTCCCTTATAGCCGTTTTGATATAAAACCCCCCACTATGGACGGAGAGCCACGAGTCTCCCTAACTACATGGCCATCCCATCAACATCACTTTCATTACAAAACATGAGATGCCAGGGGAGTCAAGGACAGTGTGGTAATAAATGAGGGTGGAATACATCTGGAATCATTGTCATATGGGTTAAGCATTACGCGGACTTCATTCTGCATTGGTAAATCAGTGGACAGCACTCATAACCTCCTGAGGTAATAAAGATACAGGTTGCAGTGTGGGGTCTTGCCAGGGTGGAACCCCTGGAAGCAGAATGACAAGAGACTGAGCTTCTGCTGTGCAATGTCATATTCCCTGTATCTGAATTCACAATCAAGGCAAATACCGCATGTGTGTAACATTTTATGAAGATCCGTATTTGGTGAGGTAAGGATAATCCTGTTTAGTGAGTTTAAATTAAGAAAAACAAGAGGGAAGATCTCTAACAGCAAACACGGACAAGGATCTAACTTTTAAATTAGACTCGACAAACTCTTTTTTTCAGGTGAGACAGTGCACATAAATATTAATATCATGTATATGCACCAGGTATCAAAGGGGCGAAAAGGATGTGTGCACTCACTGTGTGGTGCAGGAACCAGCTGAGTTGCATGGAGTGGATGTGGGGGCCCCACAGGGCTCAGAGGCAGGACTTCTTCTGTGCTGCCAGAGCGCTGGATGGCCAATTCTACCTCCTCGTCCGTCAGCCCTGGAATCAAGACACACACCTTTAAGACATTCAGAGGGGGTTTTGTGACTGCATGTTAATGGCTCCTTGGCTATCATAATATATGCTTAAATACTTCCCAATCTCCCCACAAATCTTTTAAGTACAATTTAGAGAAAGTATGTCAAATCTCAATTCAATTTTACCTACCCTCTTCTCAAAAATGCATTTTCATTTCATAATTCAAAAATTCCACGGAGAGTTTCTGTTTCAGGGACATCCATCACAAGAAGATGGTGTGAAAAGGTTCACACAATGAAATCTGAAACTCTGCTAGCCTATTAACTGCCACCAAAGGCAAAGAAAATAAGAGTCTGTCCACTTCTCCAGTTATATTTCCCATGTGGAGATTTCATACACCCCAGACAGCGAAAATGCATTATTTTAATTTCTTCATTGTAATGTAAATGTATTACATAATTTTGCAAATGCCAATATAATTTAATCTTCAGATCTTTTTAATGATTTTAGTGATGATTAAATTGCAAAGGGCTCCCTGATGGAGAATCAGAAGGGAGGAGAAAAAAAAATCTAATATGAACATCTCCTTTTGTGGCAAGAAAGGATTTTATTTCAGGCGCCATATGCTGCCATTGCTGTGGGTTTCATCTTTTAATGAGCATCTTAGTCTAAACAAAGGAAAATAATTACAACTTTCGATGAACTACATTAATAAACAACATTAACCAATTTATGGCCAAACGATTAGGAATCGGAAAAAAGCTGAAAACAAAGAACCAAAAATGGTATGTATGAGTTCTTATATGTTGATGAGCATGGTTTACCTTGCAAAATCCATATTATTATGTTGAGTATTGCTCTTTGTAGCCTAACAGAGTGTCTCTCACTAACATCATACCATTACTTCCTTTAGCCATTTTGCTTGCTTATTGACAGAAAATTCCCTTTGCAAGAGAGCCTTTTACTTGTAATGTTCCCTTAGGATTTAGAGAATTTACACAAGCTCAGAATAAGCTTTCTCCATCCTTAGAGAGAAATCAAGCAATTGGAAAGGGTTCAGTTGCAGTCTTTTAAGAGATGCCTCCACATTTTCATTAATAGTAACTGCACTGAAACAGATCCTAGTATTTCTGGTACTGACCTCCACGGTGGTCTTGACAAGAGAAGCATATATCAACATGTATCTGGAGTATTAATAGTAGAAACTGTTTAGACATCTGAAGCAGAAATGTCAATTTCTTAATATGGATAAGATATAACCAAAATCTTTTAATCAATGATTTCTCCCATTTGAATACCTGTTTAAGCGACTTAATTTTGAGTCAGATCTGAATAACAGGTTGAACACCTTGATCAGAAATCCCACTTTAACCTATCCATGTATCAGCAGCCCAAAAGAATAAAGAAATCATTTGATAATCTACCACACAGCTTACGCCAAGAGAGGTCCCTCCCGTCACCTATTTAAATGCTCCGGGGATTTCAAATGGCCATGAAAATTGTTGAATAATTGAAGGCAAATATTGGCCGGCCTGTAGTCTACAGCAGGTCCTGAGTGCCAGGAAGTGGTGAGCGCCATGTGCTGAGTTTGTGCAGTCAGACTGCACTGTCAAATAAGCAATAATGTGTCCCTGGACTCCTGATTCATCTGACCACAGCAGACTACATGGTGGCAGACTATTGAATGAGACATGCTAGGATCTCAGTTTCACCGAATGAGGAGAAATAAAAACATACTTCAGGTTTTTCCTTTCACCTTGAAATGTAAAGTCTTTTTTAAATAACCCACATTTAGGCTGCTATCAAGCCTAATGTATGTACATCTTAATGGCTGTTTACATCTTTGATGTTGTTTATGCAGCAAATGAAAGGTTGTTGGTTTTTTTTTTACCATGCATTAAAATAAAATACATGGAAATTCCTAAACCAGTTTTCTAGTCAAATTATAGCTTGCTAAGTCGTGTTGTATGCTCTGATCTGTTTATTGTTGAGGTGAAGACAACAGCAAATGAAAGAGCTCTTAGATCCAAAAGAAAAGGGAACAAGGTGAAAGTGAGTTTTACATATAAAAGGAAAAGACAAAAAAGGGATTGTGAAATATATTACGGGTTCCAAAACCTGTGGAATGACCCCTGGACCCCCATTTCAGATCGACCTGTGGGGAGATGAATTTTTTAAGACATAAATTACACCTAATGACGACACCATAAAAAAGAACAATAATGGAAAGCTATTCTGTATTTCATTATACTGTATTATTTGGTGCACCTGATACACGCAGTGCCTGTTTATGAGTCACCGTATTAGCAGATGCTCAGCCAAAGCATTTGCTTTGACCTTGCCATTCTCATTGGGGCATGAAATTACGGTGCTGGCACCTCGATATTACAGCTATAAATACTGTAAACTGCATATCTGGGCTACGTTTTCTATTGTCTTTCAACATAAACCTGATCGGTATTTATTTAAAGGAAAACCCATTGCTCGTCAGGTTATTTACAGCTCTATTTTCAGTGCCTCATATTCTCTGGGTATTTTTTAAGGGCAAAGAGGCAGCAAGGCTCTTACATTAAATCCATTTCTCCAATTCTGGCACTTCTGGACTTTATGGGTCAGCACCTAGGCCGGACAGCCAATTATAAAAATTGCTTACTAAAATATTTTGGGTGGTAAAAGGTGAATGCCTTTTTCACTGTCCTCCAAAGCATGAATTATGAAGTTGCCCTTGAGTGAAAATTACTTACATTTTGAATATCGTATTTAGAAAAAAAATTGCATGGCAGGGGTCATAAATAGATGGAGGTCAATGGGTTATTAAGAAGTCGAGTACAACTTCAACCTGTTTCTCATGCTGTGCTGGCGAGAGAGATTCTACATGTCATTTGGTTCAGTACAACTGCTTGAAAATAGCATGCCCTAAATAATGACCACTCTCATACAGTATTCATTTATGTATTAAAAAAGGGGACTCTCCTCTCATTTCCCTGCTTTATCGCCTTGTACTGATGACAAAGTAGGCAAGGCCTAGGCTAGGTGGCGCCGTGGAGTAATTTATAACCACATCAATCCCTTTACCTTCTATGCAGGCCTTGGTCATTGTCATTTTTGTCCGAGAGGTGAGTCACATAACCCCACTTACAAACAGCATCCTATTAATATCGGGATGATGAACCTTATCCTTACCCTTACCTTCATAGCAGGTATGGTAATAGACCAACAGCCTACCTGTGTTCCCTGTGACCCTCGATCACTGGCCCTCTACTCAGGGTGAAATCTATTAGCATTATTTATTCAACTCAATAACAACTGGGAAGGTATAAAAAAGAAATAAGTCAAGCCATCATTTATGTCTCACTGACAGAGAATGTACTGTGCCTGTTTCACATGCTGAATTTACCTGTAATGCAATAATGTATGTGTACTCTCTATGCTTTACTTTCCCAAACAAACTGCACTGAAGCTGGTAATCTGGGAGCGGCTGAGTGATGTCAGTTTAGGGGCCACGGTCAAAGTGACATGCTGAAAGCTGGAAAATGTTGTTGACTTTGTCCTGAGAATTTGATTTTTTTGGTAATTATGTGTGTAACTGCTAATTGTCTGGGCTAAATGGTGGTGCCAAAATGAGGCCAAATGCTCTTTAGTTGTTACATCTGTTAATTGTAGAGGACATAGATGGCACAATTTACTAGATGAGACTGTCGCACATTATATTTCAGTCAAACACAATAAAATTTACTTGATCTTGGCAAGGAACAAGTGAAACAAAATTGCTTCAAGATGGCTGCAAGACAGTTTAAATGCAATTCATTTCCCCACTCCCCTGCAAAAGAAAGAAAAAGCATCTCTGGGTTCAAATCTTGATTTATATTACATCTAAGTGACAAAGTTTCAATATTTCAGCCAGTATATTCAACAAGGACTCAAGAAGGGCAGCTAGAAATATTGGACTGCATAATTGCCAATTCATACCCTGAAATTGACAGTTGAAGGAAAACAGAAAATTATATTTTTCAATGAATATTGAAATAAACCACACTATTAGGATCTCTTTGGAAAAAAGGAGATGTAACCAGAGAGGCATCCTTCAATGCAGATTAGGGCACAAATGTGCAGGGAAATAATATGCACGAGCGAGATTATTGTGTAAAGATTCTGCAACATGCAATCAAAGTGGGCCCTATTTTCCCCTTCATCAGCTGTCCAGCGTAAGTACTGGCAGCAAGAGGAATCCAATTTAAATTCCACTCTACCGGGAGATGGTATTGTTTCATTTTATGTGTGCTTTGACATTTCTGGCTGTTAATATAGAGTAAAATCCAGAAGTATTTACATAAATATGACATTAAACTGTATTAGAAATTAAGACTGACACATTTGCTGTGGTGACTGTGGGAGGAGGAGGATGATTGAGTTTCTAGGTCAAAAGGTTGAGAGGACAATACATGCTGGTTACAGAAATAGAGGAACTAAGTATTGGCCTGCTGCTGTGTCGATGCAAAAGTCTACTATGGCTCAAGTGAGACAGAAAAGGAAGGAACCAATTGGCAAGAATCACTACAGATCATATTTTCTTTCTGTTCTAAATTAACATATGAACATTTTTATGTAGGAAAAATTATCATTTCAACATGGAACCCTTGTCAAGAAACTTACACCAGACATATACTTTGTATACTTTTGAAAACATAAAACTGAAATGCAAATCTGAATATATATATATAATTTACTCTGACTGTAACAGAAAACTCGAACTGTTGCAACACCACAAATAAGGGCAGGGGGAATTCATTTCATTTAAATCTGCCAAAAAAGAAAAGGCCCAGTTATATAAGAAACACTGTATGACGATATAAATGTGACTCACGATTTATCGTTTCAAGAAATGTATACGCCTACCTTTCATCTTAGATTAGCAGGTTACTAAATGAGACCGTTAGATAATTACAATATAAATGTTCATGGTGGATGTTAAAATAGCCGTTTCCTGACAATTTCCTATAACATAAACATTTGCAATTACTGCTCTAAGAATTAGTGTGTTAAAGTGGAATAGAAAGAACAAGAGAACGTACAGGGTTATAGTAAAGCACTTTCCCGAAACAATACAGGGAAGCTCTAGTATGAATGTAAAGAAGTTCCACGTTCACTGTTGTATGACTATACAATACAGGTTACGAGAGTTATCCTACGAGTACTGCAGAGTGCTACTCAAACGTACTTTGTTCTTAGTGTTTCATTGCTCTATTTTCTCTCATCTTTACCCTCTCTCTCCCTGAGATCAATGTCCTTATGCAAATCAAGGGTTCTTGTTTAGATCTACAGTGGAACCGACTTTCCAAAATAAATCTGCATTAAAGCGTCATACATATTTCATAGACTTAAAGTGCAGTAAGAGCAAACCATTTTGGATAGCGGAGCTCCGAGGAGTTTGCAACAAAGCAGAAAGTTAGAAGAAAATGCGGCGAAGTATGACATCATTTTGGTATTGATGAGGCCTTATTACATTTGAGATAACCAACAGTAGATTATGAACATGCCTTAGTTGTCAATAATGAGACACAAAGACAAAGAAATTTCAAAAGATATCAAGAGTCATTAGAGCCACATGAGATGTGTGTAGTAACAGCCGGCAACCATGGATTTGGTTTCAGGTTACCTTCCCCTGTCATGGAGCTTTTAGGCTCACTTTTCACTGTTTGGCTACTCTAATGCTGCAGGCAAAGTCCCCCAGCACTGCAGAGGTACAGTCTCCTAAGTACGGGACTGTTCTGCACACAACTGAAATAAATTAAAAAAAAACTCACCACAAAGAGTTTATCTGAGGTAAAGCCACATACTCTCTCTGTACATATTGCCATTGCTCAGCCACCATAGGCTTACTGTAAGAAATACATGCCGTAACACTGCACATTTCCACCGCCGCATTATATTGAACCGACTTAAATGAGTTCAGAGTAATAAAGCTTTTTGCAAGTTTTTATTGCACAAACAATATTCTACCATGTGTCAGAAATAATCTCAATGAATTGCAAAGAAACTGAAGAGCCAGCAAACATTTACACCATCCCTGCATAGAAAACCTCCCTGTGTCATGCCTCAAATTTACGATAACAGTTAAATTAAGTAAAAGGGTTAAAATGCTGGAAGGCAATATTGATAATTCCATTGAAAATGCAGAGGGAGTTTGTCAATATTAATTTTCCTGAACCCAAAGGAGCATCCCAACTGGTGTGTCATTTATTCACAGGGCCTGAATCATGCACTCTGAAGCTAAATCGACCCCTGTTAGGCCCCCCAGGGCAACGAGTTACGGCCACAACCTTTGACCCTTATAGACCAATCTTACCCAAAAAAAAACCATGACACAGTATGTGCATCTCTGGCGTACCACATTTTGTAAACAAACACATGGATTATGAAGTTAATACAATTTTCTGTTAGATATATATTGTATTTTTAAAGGCTACCTGCTTTGCATTCAACATAATTCAAGAGCAAACCAGAGATATTCTCTTACCTTTTTTCTTCAAGAATGCTTTTCTGGTGGCCAAGGGACTCTGGCGTACTTTTGGGTTCTGCAGAAATTTTACAGCAGTGGTAATCTGGGAAGAGACAAATGTGATTTAATTCCTCATAATTAGATAATGTGAGAGGAAGAAGATATGGTCAGCAGGAAAGTGATGCTTTTAACAGTATAAACAACAGTCTAGACTTTCTTTAAGAAAAAGGTTTGTTATGAATCCAGACAAAAAAAAAAAACATAAATGGATTCCATTTGATAGTTGCTTCTGAGCCCCCACACCCAGCAGTGAGGAGGAAAGACCACCTGACCACTTTCCAGCTAAATGTGGGGAATGACCAAATCAGCAGTTATAAAATTAGCCCATCAAGAGTGCTGGACAAATGGAGTATGGAGCTTAATTTGCTATTACCCTCTTAAAGACAAACTTCCAGTCTTAAGTGCGCAGTGGAAGAAAATCTATACTTAATGCAGAGGTGATCATTTGTATCTAATAACTTGAGAATCCTAGGCTGAAAACTTCTGTAATTCTTCCAGTTAAAAACCTGCCATGATCAAATCACCCAGCCTGAATGTTGTAATGACTTGAAACGTTAATGCACTAGAACGTTAAATAGCATCAGAACATCAGTAGTTTTAAGTGCACAGCGTTCATCGATTCTATTATGTTTTCCTTCGAGATGCACCTTAATTTTCCACCCCAGTATGCATTTCCAAGAATTGGAGGGAGAAAAAAAATCTTCCTCAAATGGCATTAAAACATAAATTTGAAGTGGGCGCCATGAAGTGGCGCCTCCTAAAATAGATAAATATGTAAGAACACAGAGAAAGGGGAAACACACTGGAGGGGAGGTTTAGATGACTTATTATCGCACCTGTGGTCCCCGTGATTCAATTGTAAAAGTCATCCCTCTAATAGGTTGAAAGGTTTTGATTACTCTTCTTTTCTCTTAGTGTTGAAAGATACAAAGTGATTGAGCGCCCTGCCAGTGGTAATTCGTTTTGGGTAATGCATTGCATATACTATGAACCCGTTTCAATCCAAAAGAATTGCAGTTTAAACTTGTCCAAGGGGTAGGTGTGGTGGGGAAGCTGTGTAAGGAACTAGATTTCTGTGACAAACACAGAGTACAGCAGGAGATCACAGCACAGCAACTTCATTGAACTTCATTTTCTTTAGAAGAATATCAGTAAGCTCAAAAGCAACTTAATAACTTTTATTTTAATTAGATACACACGTGGAAATACACAATCTACAGATGCTGCAGAATTACACTATATTGTATGGCTACTGTAAGAATAAATACAGTAATTATACTTCAATAGTACATTTTATCAAAATGTACCAGATTCATCCCAAGAGATGCTGCCACAATTTATTTAGACACTAATCTACCATTTTACTGTGACACTACCGTGACCTTGATGTACATAAGGGTTACGCAAGGGCTATGGAATTTCCTGTATCTCTATATGCTGAGGGCTTATTAAAGTCAGTCACCCGGAACCTTCATTGTGACAAGCAGATTAAACCATTTGCATGGTGAAAACCCCAACTGATGTTCTGGGCCAAAAGATAAAGTCAAAACACAGAGAAAATATCCCTTTGATAACAAGACAAAATCATCCCGCTCTTGGCAAAGCTCTTACTGCTCAAGTAAAAGAGCCAACAAGACTACTTGTGGTAAAGGCAGAAACCAGACATAATAAACACACTAAAATCTAATATTCTTTTTTTTTTAACAATGTTTTTTATTGATTTTCA